CCCCCCGCGCGCCGGCCCGCCCCCCCCGCAGGCCACGGGGGCCTGGCCTTGGCCCTTTCCCGCCTCGCGCCCAAACGCAGGGAGGAGACGCATCCCCATGGGGTTGGCGTGGGTCTGCCTCACTCCCCTGGGGTCTCCTCTCCCTTGGCCACCCCCTCAGGCAACCTCGACTGAGCTCACCCCCCAGGCCCTGAGGGACTCAGGGGACTGGGGCCTTCCCCGCGCGCCCACGGAGACGCCTGCCCTCTGGGTGCCTGCTCCACACTGGCAGAGCCCCAGGCAGCCAGCCTCTGCCAGGGACACCGAGTCCCTTGCCAGCTCTCCTGGCCCCTCGGCTGCCCAGGGCGGGGCCCCAGGACAGAGGAGGCCCAAAAGGCAGAGGGTTCCGAGAGGGAGCTAGCCCAGAGCAGGAGCGTGGCCTGCCCATGGCCTGTGGGACATGGCTGTGACGGCGCGTCGTGGTCCCCAGCCTCCTGCACCCCCGTAGTGGCACGGACAGACTCCACCAGCCGGTAGAACAGAGGGAGTTTATTGCTTCTCCAGGATACAGCACAGCACAGATGGAATCTGGTTCCAGGGCAGGCCTAGGATGCCTCAGCCCCTCTTGAGATGGGGGAGCCTGGGCCCCTAAATTCCAGCCCCTTGCTCAGGCTGCTTCCTCCATGATCCCAGCCAGAAACTAAAACCCTCTTCCAGCCCTGCCCCCAGCCAGGTGCTGGTCTCCGCCCCCCTCCCCTTGTCTCCCTCCCTGGGTGTCTGGGTTAATCCCAGTGAGAATCTCCCATCGCAGCGCAGGGCCCCGGTCACAGAGCAGACAGCCCCCCCCGCGCCACAGGGGCTCAGCCTGGTTTTAAGAAGGAGCTTTCCCAATCTCTGCGCTGGGTCCCGGGGAGCAGAGCGAGGCCGAGGGGGAGGCCAGTTCCTCGCTATGGGGCTTGGGCACCTCCATGCCTCCGAGGATCTGGGGTTTCGAGCAGCCCCCTGCCCCCAGCTGCCCTCGGTGCCAGCCTGGCCACCTAGGCCCTCCCTCTGCTAGGGAGCGTTACAGGTCATCCAGCGAGCCCCTCTCTCCACCCGAGCCCCGTGCCAAGGCAGCCTATGCGAGCCAGGCGCTCCCTGGGCAGAGCAAGGCCGGGCTGTCTGCCACATGGCCCTCTCCCTCCCGCCTCCCCAGTCGCTGATCTTCGATGAGGTGGACCTGTCCGACGCCAGCATGGCAGAGACCAGCACCAAGAACGTTAACAACAGCTTCACGGTAAGGGGCCGAACGGCGCGGCACGGTGCGGCATGGCACAGCGCAGCACAGCGTGCCGCAGCACGGCATGGCACGGCACGGCACGGTGTGGCATGGCACAGCGCAGCACAGCGTAGCACAGCGTGCCGCAGCACGGCATGGCACGGCACGGCACGGCAGAGTGCTCCTCGGCACGGCACAGCATGGCAGAGTGCTCCCGGCAGAGAGCTCCTCGGCACGGCACAGCACGGCACGGCAGAGTGCTCCTCGGCACGGCACGGCATGGCAGAGTGCTCCCAGCAGAGAGCTCCTCGGCACGGCACGGCAGACAGCGTGCCGCAACATGGCATGGCACAGTGTAGCACAGCGTGCCGCAACACGGCATGGCACAGTGTAGCACAGCGTGCCGCAACACGGCATGGCACAGTGTAGCACAGCGTGCCGCAACACGGCATGGCACAGTGTAGCACAGCGTGCCGCAACACGGCATGGCACAGTGTAGCACAGCGTGCCGCAACATGGCATGGCACAGTGTAGCACAGCGTGCCGCAGCACGGCATGGCACAGCATGGCACAGTGTAGCACAGCGTGCCACAGCACGGCATGGCACGGCACAGTGTAGCATGGCACGGCACAGCACAGCGCGACACAGTGTAGCCCAGCATGGCACGGCAGCGCAGTGCGGCACAGCGTGGCCCTGCATGGCACAGCACAGCGTGGCACGGCATGGCACGACACAACATGGCCCAGCATGGCACGGCACAGCGTGGCCCGGCATGGCACGGCACGGCATGGCACGGCATGGCACGGCACAGCGTGGCCCAGCATGGCCTGGCATGGTACAGCACAGCGTGGCCCAGCATGGCCCGGCATGGCACGGCCCAGTGTGGCCCGGCATGGCACGGCCCAGCGTGGCACAGCGTGGCACGGCACAGCATGGCCCAGCATGGCCCGGCATGGCACGGCCCAGACGGCATGGCACGGCACAGTGTAGCACAGCGTGCCGCAGCACGACACAGCACAGTGTAGCACAGCGTGCCGCAACATGGCATGGCACAGTGTAGCACAGCGTGCCGCAACACGGCATGGCACAGTGTAGCACAGCGTGCCGCAACACGGCATGGCACAGTGTAGCACAGCGTGCCGCAACACGGCATGGCACAGTGTAGCACAGCGTGCCGCAACACGGCATGGCACAGTGTAGCACAGCGTGCCGCAACATGGCATGGCACAGTGTAGCACAGCGTGCCGCAGCACGGCATGGCACGGCATGGCACGGCACAGTGTAGCACAGCGTGCCGCAGCACGACACAGCACAGTGTAGCACAGCGTGCCGCAACATGGCATGGCACAGTGTAGCACAGCGTGCCGCAACACGGCATGGCACAGTGTAGCACAGCGTGCCGCAACACGGCATGGCACAGTGTAGCACAGCGTGCCGCAACACGGCATGGCACAGTGTAGCACAGCGTGCCGCAACACGGCATGGCACAGTGTAGCACAGCGTGCCGCAACATGGCATGGCACAGTGTAGCACAGCGTGCCGCAGCACGGCATGGCACGGCATGGCACGGCACAGTGTAGCACAGCGTGCCGCAGCACGACACAGCACAGTGTAGCACAGCGTGCCGCAACATGGCATGGCACAGTGTAGCACAGCGTGCCGCAACACGGCATGGCACAGTGTAGCACAGCGTGCCGCAACACGGCATGGCACAGTGTAGCACAGCGTGCCGCAACACGGCATGGCACAGTGTAGCACAGCGTGCCGCAACACGGCATGGCACAGTGTAGCACAGCGTGCCGCAACATGGCATGGCACAGTGTAGCACAGCGTGCCGCAGCACGGCATGGCACGGCATGGCACGGCACAGTGTAGCACAGCGTGCCGCAGCACGACACAGCACAGTGTAGCACAGCGTGCCGCAACATGGCATGGCACAGTGTAGCACAGCGTGCCGCAACACGGCATGGCACAGTGTAGCACAGCGTGCCGCAACACGGCATGGCACAGTGTAGCACAGCGTGCCGCAACACGGCATGGCACAGTGTAGCACAGCGTGCCGCAACACGGCATGGCACAGTGTAGCACAGCGTGCCGCAACATGGCATGGCACAGTGTAGCACAGCGTGCCGCAGCACGGCATGGCACGGCATGGCACGGCACAGTGTAGCACAGCGTGCCGCAGCACGACACAGCACAGTGTAGCACAGCGTGCCGCAACATGGCATGGCACAGTGTAGCACAGCGTGCCGCAACACGGCATGGCACAGTGTAGCACAGCGTGCCGCAACACGGCATGGCACAGTGTAGCACAGCGTGCCGCAACACGGCATGGCACAGTGTAGCACAGCGTGCCGCAACACGGCATGGCACAGTGTAGCACAGCGTGCCGCAACATGGCATGGCACAGTGTAGCACAGCGTGCCGCAGCACGGCATGGCACGGCATGGCACGGCACAGTGTAGCACAGCGTGCCGCAGCACGACACAGCACAGTGTAGCACAGCGTGCCGCAACATGGCATGGCACAGTGTAGCACAGCGTGCCGCAACACGGCATGGCACAGTGTAGCACAGCGTGCCGCAACACGGCATGGCACAGTGTAGCACAGCGTGCCGCAACACGGCATGGCACAGTGTAGCACAGCGTGCCGCAACACGGCATGGCACAGTGTAGCACAGCGTGCCGCAACATGGCATGGCACAGTGTAGCACAGCGTGCCGCAGCACGGCATGGCACGGCATGGCACGGCACAGTGTAGCACAGCGTGCCGCAGCACGACACAGCACAGTGTAGCACAGCGTGCCGCAACATGGCATGGCACAGTGTAGCACAGCGTGCCGCAACACGGCATGGCACAGTGTAGCACAGCGTGCCGCAACACGGCATGGCACAGTGTAGCACAGCGTGCCGCAACACGGCATGGCACAGTGTAGCACAGCGTGCCGCAACACGGCATGGCACAGTGTAGCACAGCGTGCCGCAACATGGCATGGCACAGTGTAGCACAGCGTGCCGCAGCACGGCATGGCACGGCATGGCACGGCACAGTGTAGCACAGCGTGCCGCAGCACGACACAGCACAGTGTAGCACAGCGTGCCGCAACATGGCATGGCACAGTGTAGCACAGCGTGCCGCAACACGGCATGGCACAGTGTAGCACAGCGTGCCGCAACACGGCATGGCACAGTGTAGCACAGCGTGCCGCAACACGGCATGGCACAGTGTAGCACAGCGTGCCGCAACACGGCATGGCACAGTGTAGCACAGCGTGCCGCAACATGGCATGGCACAGTGTAGCACAGCGTGCCGCAGCACGGCATGGCACGGCATGGCACGGCACAGTGTAGCACAGCGTGCCGCAGCACGACACAGCACAGTGTAGCACAGCGTGCCGCAACATGACACAGCACAGTGTAGCACAGCGTGCCGCAACACGGCATGGCACAGTGTAGCACAGCGTGCCACAGCACGGCATGGCACGGCACAGTGTAGCATGGCACGGCACAGCACAGCGCGACACAGTGTAGCCCAGCATGGCACGGCAGCGCAGTGCGGCACAGCGTGGCCCTGCATGGCACAGCACAGCGTGGCACGGCATGGCACGACACAACATGGCCCAGCATGGCACGGCACAGCGTGGCCCGGCATGGCACGGCACGGCATGGCACGGCATGGCACGGCACAGCGTGGCCCAGCATGGCCTGGCATGGTACAGCACAGCGTGGCCCAGCATGGCCCGGCATGGCACGGCCCAGTGTGGCCCGGCATGGCACGGCCCAGCGTGGCACAGCGTGGCACGGCACAGCATGGCCCAGCATGGCCCGGCATGGCACGGCACAGCGTGGCCCGGAATGGCACGGCCCAGCGTGGCCCAGCGTGGCAGGGCAGCTCTGGGCTTTGCATCATGATCTGCCAGCTCCTCGCCCGGCACACCAAAGGCGGGGGAGGGAGCTGAGCGGGGCTGCTCCCCTCCTCCCACAGGTGTTTCTCCGGCCTGTGCAAAGCCAGCCTCAGACTGTACGTGGGGGCCGCGGGGTCCTCTTGCGGCATGCGATGGCTGGTTGCTGATGGGGAGATTCATTTCCCTTCTCCAGCCGATGGCCAACAGCGCCTCCTGCTGGGAGGGCAGAGAGCAAAGCAGAGCGCTAGTGCTCCCTCCGTGCTGTGTGGGGGGCATCCAGCCTGGGGGCTGAGGGGAGGTGTGGGACAGAGCTGGCTGGGAGCACCTTGGAGTTCCTCCGGGGCATCAGCCCAGGCTCCCCACAGCTCCCTGCCCTTCGCAGCAGGCGTAGCAGGGCAGTTTCCTTCTCCAGGTGATCACTCCGTTCCGGAAGCTCATCCTGTGCGCTGAGAACCGAAAGGAGATGGAGGACTGGATCAGTGCCCTGAAATCGGTGCAGAAGTGGGAAGTCAGCGAGGTGAGGGAGGCGTCCTGGGGCGGCTCCGGGACAGGGAGCGTCCGTAGAAGCGGCGCAGGGAGACGGGGCGATGGCGGCAGTATTCCCATTGTGGGGAGTGCCACGAGACGCAGGGTTACACAGCCGGTCGTGCTGTGCACTATTGGGGTGGCCAGCTGTGACCTTGTGAGAGAGAGAACAGCTGGTGGGGAACTCTGCCTTTCTCTGGGATTATTTACTAGGTGTAATACGGTAACACCAAGGTGCCTGGTCCCAGATCCACCCCAAGGCGCTAGGTGCTGTACAGACAGAACAGTCAGCCCCGTCCCAAAGCGCCAGCGGCAGCATCGTGCGCTGACAGTCCGGGGCAGGTTTTCAAAGAGACAATATTAAGGGCCCAAAAGCCTGCTATTCCACTGCGCGGGGAAGGCAGGACGTCTGGCAAAAGGCTTAGCCAGGAGATCCTGCAGGATCTAAAAATCCAAAAGGAATCATATAAAAAGTGGAAACTAGGTCAGGTGACAAAGGATGAATGGAAGCAAACAGCACAGGTGCGCAGGGGCGAGCTTGGGAAGGCAAAGGCACAGAACGAGTTAGATCTAGCTAGAGGCATAAAGGGTAACTGTTGTGTGGGTCAATTTATTTTAGAGCCAAGGGAAACCAGGACACTCCAGGGAGACTCAAGCGCTTTCTCATTTATTGCAAGCTTTGAGCAGTTAACATTGTTGTTTACATTTTACCAGCCTTAAAAACAATGACTATACAATTCAAACCTTAAATACTATCAATTCTAAAGCAATTCATACTGCAAAAGCAATGCAAAAGCAACCAATAGATCTACTAAATAATGCACTCATTAAGCCTAGTTCACTTATTCTTCACCCGTATGCTGCCTACAGTACCAGGCAGGAGGTCGTGCTTCCTTTCCTTCCCACGCATCGGAACGCCGTGCTCTGCTGTAGCTGGTGTGAGGGGTCTGTTTACTTCTCGTTACATCGAGCAGGACCTCTGGGTCGATCCTGCTCACGCCCTCCCTTCGAGTCTTCTTACTAAGCCCATTTGATAGCAAAGCGAGACGTGGGCATTCTAATATTTACCAGTCGATTACGTACTGTGTAAGATACCTACAACACCCAATGCCCTATTTGGGGAACATCCTGCTACTCAGGATGTTGCAAAAACGATGTGCTCAGTTAACAATTTTATGGCTGCACCTGTAATTTTTGCTTATCAGAAACAGAAGTACCAGTACAAGGTTGATTGTTGTGTGTGTTTGACGTGGTCTCGCTGTACTGCGTACTCTGCATTGGTATGCAAAACATGCCTGCCTCTCAAAGCTTCTCCCTCCTAAATCTTGCCTGCGTGCTACGTGTGCCAGACTTGAGACAGGCCTGGGTTTTGCTTTTTAGGGATCTGCACTGTGCCCAAGGCAGACATACCATTCATTGTCTAGGTAGGGCTGTCCAGGCTCCTCTAACTGTAACAAGAAGACAGTCTATAAATACATTAGAAGCAAGAGGAAGACCACGGACAGGGTAGGCCCACTGATCAGTGAGGAGGGAGAAATAACAACAGGAAACTTGGAAATGGTGGAAGTGCTTAATGACTTCTTTGTTTCGGTCTTCACCAGGAAGGCTGATGATGAAGGAATGCCTGACATAGTGACTGCTAGTGGGAAGGGGGTAGGTTTAGAAGATAAAATAAAAAAAGAACAAGTTAAACATTACTTAGAAAAGATAGCTGTCTGCAAGTCACCAGGGCCTAATGAAACGCATCCTAGAATACTCCAGGAGCTGATAGAGGAGGTATCTCAGCCTTTAGCTGTCGTCTTTGAAAAATCATGGAACTCGGGAGAGATTCCAGAAGACTGGAAAAGGGCAAATCTAGTGCCCATCTATACAAAGGGAAATAAGAACAACCCAGGAAACTACAGACCAGTCAGTTTAACTTCTGTGCCAGGAAAGAAAATGGAGCAAGTAATTAAGGAATCCATCTGTAAACATCTGGAAGATAATAAGGTGATAGGGAACAGCCAGCATGGATTTGTAAAGATCAAATCATGTCAAACTAATCTGATAGCTTTCTTTGATAGGATAACGAGTCTTGTGGATAAGGGAGAAGTGGTGGATGTAGTATACCCAGACTTTAGTAAGGCATTTGATACGGTCTCACAGGATCTTCTTATCCATAAACTAGGCAAATACAACTTAGTTGGGGCTGCTATAAGGTGGGTGCATAACTGGCTGGATAACCGTACTCTGAGAGTAGTTATTAATGGTTCACAATCCTGCTGGAAGGGCATAGCAAGTGGGGTTCTGCAGGGCTCTGTTTTGGGGCCAGTTCTGTTCAATATCTTCAGCAACTATTTGGATAATGGCATAGAGAGCACACTTATTACCCTTGCAGATGATACCAACCTGGGAGAGCTAGGGGGAGAGGTAGATAGGCTGGAGGGCAGGGAGAGGGTCCAGAGTGACCTGGACAGATCAGAGGATTGGGCCAAAAAAGTCTGATGAGGTTCAACAAGGACAAGTGTAGAGTCCTGCATTTGGGACGGAAGAATCCCAAGCATTGTTACAGGCTGAGGACCGACTGGCTAAGTAGCAGTTCTGCAGAAAAGGCCCTGGGGGTTACAGTGGATGAGAAGCTGGATACGAGTCAGCAGGGCGTCCTCGTAGCCAGGAAGGCTAATGGCATATTCAGGTGCATTAGGAGGAGCATTGCCAGCAGATCCAGAGATGTGATGATTCCCCTTTATTGGGCACTGGTGAGGCCACATCTGGAGTATTGTGTCCAG